CTTTTAATTAATCCAATCTTTTAATGAATCCAATCTTTTATTTTTTATTTAGGTTCATTAACTTGATACAAGTGGCAAATCCTCTGCTTGATACATTTTTCTGCTTTAATATTATTACATATGCATTTTCAAAAGAAACAACTAGTTAAAGCTGTTTGTGTACCTCCCTCCTCTCTTTTAGATATTGGAATATTACATTCAAATAATCAATATCATATTTCATAATCACCTGGTACCTACACTATTTCTGTGATGTTTCATCATCCTATCCCTTCCCATTAGGTTAGCTTTTAAACACAGCCTTAGAAAGTACTTACTTGTTACATTGCAAACAGGAAGAAATAAATCACTTTCACTACTTGTCAAAAAAATTAAGGTAAAATATACAAAAATGGTACAGGCTACCATATTATCAGAATCCTTTTTAAAGACTTATTTTCCACTAGTTCTGGAAATAATAACATTTGAAATAAAAGGAAACAATTTTGACGACTGTAATTCTTACACATATCTGAGGTGGAAAATTAAAAAAAAAAACAAACAAACAAACCAAAACAAAACAAAACAGAAAACCTCAGTGCCAGTACTCAATTGTCTAATTTTAGTGTCTTATGCACTTTATTTAATACTAATAATAACAACAAAAAATGATAACACCCTTCAACCAATCATTGTATTATTTCTCTTCAAAGATAAACACCATTAACGCATAAATGTATGAGTGTTAAAGTAGTGGTCATTTAACCTTTCTGCTAGTCAGTTTATTCCTCTGAAAAATGAGGATTAAATAGAACTTAATCTTAAATTTCTGATAAGCATTAACGTAATCATTTAAAAAGCACAAGATTAGTCAGTATGAATAATAAAAGTGGTTTTTGTCAACATAACTGTGATAGGATTCTGGCTCACCTTCAACTTCATGAATTCATTGCTTCTTTCATAACCCTATATCCAAGAAAGCTTACTACCCTCAACTAATAATATTCACTGTGCATTTGGTGAAATTCTCACTGCTCTCTTTGTCAAAGGCAATAATGAATAACTCACTTATCAAACAATAGTTTATCAACATTCATATCACTTTGTCTAATCCTAATAATGTCACAAATAATATCACAAATCTTATCAGATGCCAAACAATAACTGACTTTGAAAGGCCAACCTCAAACTACCAGAATTCAGATGGCAAAGCCCTCTGCATGTCACAGTGACAACTTTGTCTTTTGGAACAATGCTCACTAAGAATGCATCAGAAAGGCTTTCCTCTTCACTATAGTCAACTCCATTTACTTTAACAACTTCTCTGGTGTTACTTTGGAGAGATCAAAGGCATTGTGAAGTATTAATCAGTTAATCAATCGATTAAAATAAAAATTATCTACATATTTCCACTGAGAAATAATTTCACTAAAGAAAATATTCAGACTTTCAGTACCTTTAAAATTAACTTAAAATAACTTAAAATTTCCTAACTGAATGATTTATGTCACTTTAAATTTTTATTAAAAATCAAGTAAATATTCACTGGGAATATGATCTCCTATTCTTCCTATTTTAGAAATTTTCCTCTACCCTGGATAAAGTTTCAGTATTATATTTCTTTCCTTGTGAAACAGTAACAAATTCCTATCATCCTCTAGATGACAAAATGATAGATAGTGTCCATTTACAGAGTCATAACATAATTGTCTCTGATGTCAAGGATCTTATAATCTCAAATCAGCCTTTCCTTCTTGCTTTAAGTTCTTGTACTTTTAAATATTTTAGAGATTAATTTATCTGCTTCCTGTTCTATCACAATAAATTATCAGATTGAGTCATTTCTCTCTGGATGCACTATGACCTCCACATCTTTAGATGTAAAAAATCAAACTTCAGATGGCAGCAGTCAGAACCTTTACATGGTTTATCATCATTGGAAACCCCCCCTCCAATTTCCCTCAGGACTAATTACAAAAAAATCAAGAGGTTTAGTGACTTTAATTAGTCAGTTATTCAGCATTTTTTCATAATTAAACAGGTCTGTAGCTACTACTCTATCACAAATATAATGAGGAAATAAATTACCTTTAAAAGCTGACCAGATTTAATAAGCAATTTCAATGAAAACTAGATTTATCTTGACTCCAGTAGTCAATGGGAATGACCAGCTCTTCATTTCAGATTTGTGGTATTCAGAGCTTCTCTAAATTGAACATAATCTACTTTAGCTGTAACATAATAATGGATTTTTGACCTGGTGATAAGAGTCTCAGTTGAAGTTTAGCAAAATCTATTGAATTAGTTAATATATTATAAAGAACAATTTTTTATTCAAATAATATATTACCACATTTCAAGAAACTTGATTATCTATATTTGTATGACAAAATATAAATCTAAAAGGAAAAGAGCATTAATAATTAACTACTATTCACAACTTCAGAGAAGAAAATGTTGGTATATAATTAAATTCAGAGATTCACTGACCTCAAATGAAGAGAAAACAATGATTAACTAATTTCTACCTGTCTATACTTTAAAAATGAACACTGACAGCTTTAACCACATGATTTACTCACTATTATTAATGCAAGTAAAATCAATAAAAGTTACCATTCAGGTAAAAACAAAAATTGTGCCCAACTTACATACAGAATTCAATACTTTAACAAGCACTTTCATATGTCTATATTAAAGTTGTGAAGGCTAATTATGAAGAAAATCAACACTGTTATCTTTTTTCTGAAAAAGCATTTTCTCTGACATAAACACTAGTAGTATTGTGAGCTATGTCAGAAGGAAAGATTATTCTTCAGCATGCGATACTAAAATAATTTACTAGTAATACAGGAGCTTAAAACACACTATCACATGTTTGTAGCTTTTGAAACATATTAGAAACCATGTCAGTGCATGGTGGTGCGATCTTACATACTTCAACATACCTGCACTATCTTCTAAGTCTTGGAGAAATGGAATTCACAAAGTTACATCCTAATTCAAGTAGTACTGTTATGAATTAGAGATATGATTTACATTTTAACCACCTCTACTTCACAGAGCAATAAAAGTAATTTAAGAAACATGTGATTTACTCCCTCTCTCAATGCCAAATGAATGTTATTTTTGAATTTCCATCTACTTCCATGTGTAGATATTAAATGTTCCTGCAATTTTCAACTTTTCAAAAGGATTGGAGGCCTGACAAAAATACAGATGTGTGTGTGTGAGAGAGAGAGAGACAGAGACAGAGACAGAGACAGAGAGAGCACATTTATAGGTTTTTTTATTTGTTTCAAGTGTTGTAAACTGAAGTCAGCATGCTGTGGACGGGGGAAGAAGGCAGTTAATTTGTTTTAATTTGTTATTGTACCATTTTTACTGACATACAACATTATACAGGTTTCTGTTATATTGTAATTAGGATTCTAGTTGCAGAGCTGGTTACCAGGGCTTTGAGGATGACCTCGTTTCTCTTTATCTTTCACTCTATCCCTCATGCCCTTTCCTTTTATGTTGTCTTATTTTCAAAAACCGTCACCCATCATGCCAGCTTAAGTCTGACAACTTGTCATGCCCTGATATACTTCAGTAGCTGACTGGTTCCTTTTCATTATTTCTAATCTGTGTGTTCTTAATAGTCAAAGGTTAGGTTTGTTATCCTTAAATGAGGCCTGTTTTTTTTTTAAATTTCGTCCTTAGGTAATAGGTATTGACAGAAAACTTACTTCTTGCCTGAAGTGAAGTGACTGCTGCCTTGGCTATTATCATTTTAGCCACTATCTCACTAAAATAATATTCTTCCTCCCCTTTGCTGCATCCTAATGGCTTACTCTGCTTTCCTAGATTTATTGGGATGTAACTGACATATAACACTGCATTAGTTTTAAATACATAACTATGCATACATCTTGAAATGATTACCAAAATAAGTTTTGTTACCATCCATCAGCTCATAGTTATAAGTTTTTCTTGTGATGAGATCTACTCTCATAGCAAGTTACAAATATACAACTGAGTATCATTAACTGCAGTCACCATGCTGTATATTACATTCCCAGAACTTATTTACCTTATAATAGACATTTGTACCTTTTGACTATTCTGTTCTATTTTGTCAGACAAAGATAAACAAATACTATATGACCTCATGCATATGTAAAATCAAAAAAAATAAAAACTCATAGATACAGAGAACAGATGGATGACTCCCACTTTACAATGGAATTTTGCATTGGCTGAGGAAACACACGAAATGGGTTTCAATCATATTATCCATTGTTTCCAGCTTCCCTGCCTTTTCTCATACAAACCTTTACTTTTTAAACACATTCAGGCCTCCTTGGTGGTACAAGGGGTTAAGTCTCAGCACTATCAAGCTATCAGAAGGCAATGCAACATGAGTTCGATCCCTGGCCAGCGAGCTGACCCACATGCAACAGCAGACCTCTCCTATCTCCCCTCGTACTCCCCTCAGCAGTGTATTTAAGTAAATCTGTCTGTTCTGCACCCCACTCTGTCTCTGGGGAATCCTCTCACCCCCTCTACCTCTGACCTACTTCTGGTCTTATATGCATAAATAAATAAAAATAAATAAATCTTTAAACACTAGAAGGCTTATGATAATCTTTTCCTCATACAACTTGATTCACTATCTCCAGGCACATTTTCTTCATAAAATCTGTCTCTCATTTCAGATGTGCCAAATACAATTATTTCTCTCTCTCTCTCTCTCTCTCTTTACTCTTATTTAATACTCCTGACATTTTGATATTTTCTCTGATATCATCAAAGCCTTTAGCATCAACAAATCTATAACATAAGCAACAAGAAACAATCCAGTTTACAGTAGCTAACTATTTTATTATGGCTCAATTTGGATTTATAATTGTCTAAAAAAATAAAATTCTCTATCTTCTTGTCCATAATACAAGTTACTTTAGGAAGCTACATTAATCATTGCCAACAAATTAGCCAGCATTAGTAATTTATATTTTCATCAAATAATCGACTTACAGGACGAAAACTGTCTTAATGAAATGTGAAGTCATAGATTCACTCACCAAACTGGGAAGTCAAGCAGTTCAGAATGTGGAGCTCAAACAAAATCACCAGGGTGGGTCCTGCCTCCCCAGCCATGCCCTCAGCCCCTTTCCTTGTTGGGAAGATGGGTTTCAGCCACACCATTCTTATTAATGCTTAAGCTCAGGGAAAACCAAACACAACAAAATGCCTCCTTTCTGATTGACTATTACATTAAAAGGCAGACATATGGTTATACTTGGTATTACTTCATGACATGCTTATCTCTAAAAACTTCATGCCCATGAGGCGAGACTTTCAGGATGAGTGCTGGAGAGTTGTGCTTTGCCAATGAAATGGTGTGCTTTTTCCAAAGAAAAGGTGACAATGTTCATGATGATATTGCTTGAAGTATTATGTTCAGAAAAACCTAAGTAGAGAATCCTGTAATAGGGAAGTAGATAAACTCCCTCTGGTAAACAGTGCTACACTCAGTGTATCACCTTTCAGGTGCTAGTAACTATCTATAGCAACTCCACACAGTGGATAACAGTTGAAGAGCAAACTAGTGAAAATAACGCATATCTCTCCAAAATGAGAAAGTTGTCTCCACATGTCTATGAAACTGTTATTAGCAATAGGTGAAGACTTTGTTATGAATCTTTAGTTTCATAGCACCTGACATATCATGTAAATACTCAATAAATCCTTCATAAGTCAATGACATAAATATAAAACATACAGATGGATAGAGATTAAAATTGATGCAAGAAAAACAAGATAATATATATAGAAACCTGGAAACTACCAAAAATAACTATTTTCAAAAGAGAGTTTAAATAATCTTAAAACCTATTGCAAATGAAGTTTTATTTGACTGGAATATATTAATCTGTCATTTTTCTTTGGATTGGTAGTACTCTTCAATATATAAAGTATATACGTGGACTTACTGTGTTGTGTTTCAAATGTCAATAAGAAAAATGAATTCTAAATTTTACTACATTCATTTGATTTAGTGTACTGTAAAAATCTCCACCATCCATTATGCTTTATTCACTAACTGCCTTAATGTAGCAATTAGAAGTCGATTAGAAATGTCCAGGAACAATAATACTTAAAGATCAATTAGGAACCCATGCTGCTAGGAAGATTAAATATTTACTAAAATAACAACAGCCTTGAAACTAATGGTTCAAACTTCATTACTTGAATACATTTTTTGAACTGCTATTTTCTGCCTCACTTCACTGTAATTGCAAAATGTAATAGTAGCAGTAAACGTTTCAGACTAAAGTACATAAAAGGAACAAAGCTTTTAGGTCATAATGACACTTGTTTAGATATTGTACACAGAATCACAAGTCCTTTTTGTACAACTTTATAAAGGTCTGATTGCAAAGAAAACTTGGTAATTATATTATTTAACACTAATTATATATAACGCAATTGTTGGAAAATAAAGCTACTAAGTGTGTTGCTCATTGAGAAAAAAACAAAATTGAAATGTGTTGGACTACACATTTTGCCTTAGTCATTTACATAGTAACAATAAAATGATTATGTGAAAATTAAGTCTCAAGTTTCTAAGGAAGTTGATTCCAAAACAAGTTTTACTTACAAAGTTTGTGCATTATTGCATAGGTTATAAAAAGACATTGAGTAGGATATAGGTAATTTTTAGTTATAACTTCGAGGGTGAGTTTAGTTCACATATATAGCAGAATGTTTCCTGAATATCCCAAGAATAAAACAGCAAAGAAAATCAAGTGAGTAACCAGATTAGACAAAACTGAACTGAAAGGACTTCATGACCAGGAAGGCGGACATCTATATATAAACATATAGCAAAACACACATACTTATGTACATACAATAGACATATGAAGAGATACCATGCTGCATAGATATTTAGGGAGGGATGGATCTTGGAAGGAGACTGTGGTCTTGCTGGGTTTTGGGGGGTGTGTGTGGGTGGGGGTGAAACCTAGTGGAAATATCCAGGAGGAGTCCAAATAAAATGGGTATTATCCTTATTTTCTTCCCTGGTTGCTTCTTTCAGGATGGAGAGGAGAATAAAGGTAATCAGAAGCTGCCCCCATAAAGACCCCACATTTGAAAAGACTGAGTATATTATTAACATAGCAAGATGATATTTTAAATTGAAGTGTTATACATGGTTAGACATTTTCAATAAAAATATTTTATATAAAATGGACAAACATGCTAAGTTGCAATGCCCCAGATTTTTATGTGTGTGTTAATATTCAACTTGATTCACTATTTTATTTTATTTTTTTAAGATTTATTTATTTTATGCATACAAGAGCTGGGGTACAGGCCAGAGATGCGGGGGATGACAGGATTCACCAGAGACAGAGTGGGGAACAGAACAGGAAGAAGGACTGAAGTACACTGCTGAGGGGAGCAGCGTGTGAGACAGAATAGGTCTGCTTCGCCATGTGGGTTTCTCTCTGACTGGCCTGGGATAGAGCTTGTGCTGCAGAGGCTGCAGATTGCGTCACAGTATAGTGCTTAACCCCTTGCACCACCAGGGAGGCCCAGATTCGCTATTTTAAGTATATTTAAAATGCTGTACTTTTCCTTATTAAAATTAATTAATGGTAATTTTGTTTGAGAAAATGACATGCAGTGAGGCTTTATATGTGCAACATGAAGAGGAAAATAATATTTCAGGTCACTGTTTTCTATTAAACAATCAAAAATATGATAAAATAAGACTGCATCAGTAACTGATCCTGAACTTTTTCTAACCTATATTTATGCTGTATATATGTCTATATATATATATATATATATATATATATATAAAACTCTTAAATTTCTTAAAAATATTACTTAACTAGGGGCTCCCTGGTGGCGCAAGGGGTTAAGTCTCAGTGCTCCCAAACTATTGGCAGCCACTGCAGCACAAATTTGATCCCCGACCAGACAGCTGATCCATATGGCGCAGCAGACCTCTCCTGCCTCGCCCACTGCTCCCCTGGGCAGTGTACTTCAGTAGATATCCTTGTTCTGCTCCCTTCTCTGTCCCTGGTTAATCCTCTCACACACACCCCCACACCTCTGGCCTATACCCAAGCTCCTGTATGCATACATTAAAAAAAAAATCTTTAAAAATATTACTAATCGACAATTACATACTAACATGTGTCAGGAATGCCTATCTCTGAAATGAATGCATCTGAGTATTTGTGTGACCAGGTCAACCATTTATAAATTTTATTGGGTTTCATCTTCAGAAAGCCAGCTGGATCATATCTGATAAAACTTGTTGATATCCTAATAGTTACAAAACAATGACCCCCTTAAATCTATGTCATTAATTAATAAACAGTTCTCAGAGAAGTGATAGCCATTTTGAAGACAAAATTAGTATTTCATACTATTATATACCACATAAAATTAGCATAAGAAAATGAGAAGTCAGAAAAGAAATACAAATATTAAAGTAAAAGGGGATATGTATAATATTTTCATAATCTTTCAATAGAGAGATTTTTCTTAGGAAGTCCAAATGCGATGAACAATCTAGACATACATGAACCATGCTCATTTGTAATTGTAAAACATATTCATAGAAATAAATGAAAACAAAAAGAAATAATCCTTGAAAAATATATTTAAAGCCAAATATTTGGGGTTTTTTGCAACTTGTTTTTCAGTATGTCCTGTGAAATATGAAATGCAACCAAATGAGAGATAATATCAATTTTGTGAAGATCCTTTAATGTGTCTATAAAGGCTCCCCCATTCATTCAGTTTCTCGAAGTCCAAAATCAGACAGTCATCCTTTATCCCATCCTGTCTTTACCACCAATACCCAAATGATCCACTCTATTGCCTTTCTATACCTCTGCAAAATCGTCATGGACTTGAACCATTTTCTGATATTTACGTCTCAAACACTTCAGCAGCCTCAAGTGTGATCTAGTGTATTCACTCTCAGAATCCAATCTATTCTCCAGCAGTAACTGCCAGAATGATCTTGTTAAAATGTAAATCAGAGATAGAAAGGAATTAAATTTGGGCAGAAAATATATAACTATGCTAAATACAGTACAGGGAAAGTTTTAATTGAAGAGACATCTGTGTTTAAACACTGTGAATGAGCCTTTATAAGAGAAATAGTTTGAAATGCAAAGAAGAAAATTCGTTACTGCATCTTCAGGTCCCATATATGCTGGAGGATTTTTTCCTTTTCTTCTTCTTCTCAAGCATCTGGATATTAAACCATTCTTGGCAAAGGATGTGAATACGTAGACAAAGAGACAGTATTAAATTCCTTTTTCCCTCTGTTCTTCTCAAGCAGTGAAATGATTTGAATTTCTATAGTAAAAAATATGTTCTAGTCTTGTTACTGTGGTAATAGTGATAGACTATGTAAGAAATAATGATTGAATATATGTACAATTTTGTGATTTTATGCTGAATTTTTAGTCTACAGAACATTTACACACTGTGAAAGATTTTGATTTCAGCTTTTCCCCATCACTTTGATCTAGGCTTCCTCATCTCAATATATATATAACACTACACATCTAGTGGTATCAAAAATTTGTCATTAGCTATTGATAGATCTCTTTCTCATACCATATATCTGAGCCAATTTTAACAGTATAAGCATTTTATTAGTGTGTCAGCTACCACCCAAACCCACACCACTACCACACTCACTTTATTTTGAAATACAATCTCCTACAGGCCTACTGGCATTTATACTCCATACCCCAGACATATTTTCTCATAGCATTTATCATTATGTAGGTAGTATCACGTTATGAAGTCTGGGATAGTATGCTATATGAAAATATACAATAATGAATTACATTACTTATTTTCTTATTTTTTGATCCACCTCTTCCTACTCAATTAAATAGGACTATTCCTGTGGAGAGTGCTCTCACTAAATTCTCCAATAGAGCTGGCACCAAAGTGGGTTTTTAAAATACAATCATGATAGATCATTAGAGAATTATACATTAAAACAATGAGATAACTCTACCTACTTATCAGGATGGTTTAATCTAAAAAACTACTAAAAATATTGTTGTGGAGGATGTGGCTAAACAA